GGGGGGGGGGGGGTGGCAGTTAAAAATAATCAAGCCCCAAAAGAACGGCTTGTTTGGTGACAGAAATGAGGAATATAGAGAATTGACTAACCTACTGAAACTCAAACTTTGAATTTGGATTTGAAAAGATTGTGCCTTTAAAAGAGATTAATTGACAATGAAGAACTCTATAAAGGAATAGAAGTCGAAAGTTAAAAACATACCAAGGAGGCTTGCTTTGTTTGAGTTTTGTCCTAATTAATATATCTTAAACAACTATTTTCTCCCTTATAATCTAATCTTGTCTGAGTGATGAATGGAATGTAAAGTTTGGAAAAAACTTTGGGAAAAAGTTTGGAAAGAAGATTTAATTAACCAACAGACATAAATCAGAATTTGGAAAAAGCAGGAGGGGGAGGAGAAACGAAAGTTAAAAGCATACCAAGGAGATTTGCTTTGTCCGAGCCTATCCGAGTTTGTTCTAATTAAAACATATTTTAAGCAACTCTAATCAATGAGAGGTGGAATGTAACAAGCAAAAAAAAAATCAAGAAAAAACACTAGCCTGGATTTAAAACTGGATTTAAAAATATCAAGCAGTATTGCTGAAAACTATCGCCGAATCATTTGCTGGAGGAAAGAACAAAGAACAAAGAAAGCGAAGTGATTAAGATGTCTCATCCTTCTCTTCCTCTCTATGTTTAGCTGAACTGAAATATATAGCTGGATCAGAGTCTCTCTGTTTTAACTGAACTAGAATATAAATTGGACCGGAATTGTGAAATTATAATTAACAATATAACGAACTGTAACTTTGGAACTAGACATTATGGAAAGGTCGGAATTTGAAGAGTTGCGTGAAATTATAAAAAAAATATGCACAAATCATTAAAATTAAGTTTAAACAGAATTTTGAAGCCAGAATCTGAGGAGAAGCAAGAAATGAAAGAGCAAGAGGGGGAGGGTAATGAAATGGTAGAAATGGTGGAAAATAATAAGCAAATAAAAGTTTTCACTGGGCTTGAAAGTGACATAGGGAAAATTGAAAAGGGGAGAGGTGTCCCAATAAAGGGAAATAAAAAGCAGAAAAAAGATTCTACTGACACTGACAGTGGCACAAGGAAAACTAAAGAGGGGGGATATGTCCTAACAAAGGGAAATAAAAAGAAGATGAAAGAATTCACTGGGCTTGACAGTGGCTTGGGGAAAATTGAAAAGGGTGAACATGTCCCAACAAAGAAAAGGGAGACGGCAGGAATACAGAATTGGGACAAAAGACTTGTTAGGGAAAAATCTGATATTTAGAAATTGTTATGGGGAGAATATAAAGTTGAGGCATGTGGTTTACATCTTAACATGATAATTAAACTGAGTTCCTAACTGATTGAACAGGATAATGGAAAGATAATTAAATAAAAGTTAAAATATATGAAATATTCTTTTACACGATAAATTAAACTGAGTTATTAATTGATTGAATATGATAATGGAAAGACAATATAGGTTAAAATATAAGAACTATGAATGCATATAGAATTCTTAAGACGATGAACAAAGTGAGGTGTGTATTGCTTGTTATTTTACACAGCAGATCAATGGAATTGTAATGAACACTGAGCAGCAGGGATTGTTATTTAAAGACAATCAAATATAAACTAAGTTAAGATATGGAAAAATGGAGGGGGAACATGAAATATACTTAAATGAGATTATAAAGACAGATTAAAATTTGGGGCGGGTAAGGATATATAACTATACAGGTGAAACTCGAAAAATTAGAATATTGTGCAAAAGTTCATTTATTTCAGTAATGCAACTTAAAAGGTGAAACTAATGTATGATATAGACTCATTACATGCAAAGCAAGATAGTTCAAGCCGTGATTTGTCATAATTGTGATGATTATGGCTTACAGCTCATGAAAACCCTAAGTCCACCATCTCAGAAAATTAGAATATTGTGCAAAAGTTCATTTATTTCAGTAATGCAACTTAAAAGGTGAAACTAATATATGATAAGACTCATTACATGCAAAGCAAGATAGTTCCGTGATTTGTCATAATTGTGATGATTATGCCGTACAGCTCATGAAAACCCCAAATCCGCCATCTCAGA